TTATGTTATGTGTATATGTATATGCTCATGTGCCTGTATATCTAATCTATTAGACTTTTCTATGAATCTATACAAAGATCTATGATAAGCTCAAAGATAAGAAACTATGAAAGAAAATCACAAAGTTGCACAGGATAAAGCAAACACAAATGTAGGTCATTTATATAAAAACCTTTTATATACATATAAAATAAATGTAGGCTTAATATACACACTCCAAACCACCACTCCTCCTTCCCCTTACTGATGAGCACTAAGGGAGGACACAACGTTCGTCTAGTTTCCGTCTAAGGGCACGTGCGAAACGGAAACTAGGCTTTGAGCTTCTTTGTTCGAACGAAGTTATACGAAAAGTAACAGAAAAATTTTTCTCTCAATCATGTCATAGAACATTAATGTATTTGTAAAAAGTATACTTCATAATTACAGAGGGGATTGCCTTCATTTCCAGCTCAGCGAAGAAAACCGGGAACCCCTGATTTCTATCATGAACATGTTCGTATGGTTCATGTGTTCAACAACATGTGTTCAAGAGATATCAGATGATAACGAAGAACCGGGAGCATCTGATGAGATGACGATAAAAAAATACTTCTGCTTCTCCATCAGTAGAGAGGTGGAAGCTAAAAGGCTCGTGGGATTGATTCTTTGTCAAGCCTTTGCTTCTGCCAGCAATGCGGATACCAAACTCAAGACATTCTACAGAACCGGCTGGTTCCCTTCAACATGTGTTCAGGAGATATCAGAATAACGATGAACCGGGAGCATCTGATGAGATGACGATAAGAAGAAATTGTCATGTTACCACTAGTTTTGACCTGTTCGCTCATAACTGAATGCTACTGCTAAACGTTGTTGTAACATGTTATCCAAATTGGACCTGTTCATTCATGTCCCATCGACACGCGTGGCCATATATAAACCCGGGGAGGGAGTTTGGGTATTCAGAGGCAGAGCAAGTGACGCAGTGGAGGCATTGCGCATCCGAGCGCGAATGTACCAGTGCGCGGGGTGCGCCCTGGGGCAACCGCTGCATCCACGATACTGCTAATTCAGCTGTGTTGGGCGCTACCTAAGAAAGATAGGGTGGGAGGAAGGGTAGACATTTTGAGAAGGGGTGCAAACAACGGAAGCCCTCACCTTGCCCAAGGAGACTTCAAATGTGAGGAGATACCACGACCTTTATTCGTACTTCATTTCTGCAATTTCCGTATGGTTGCATTTGATGACGCGAAAAAGTAATTGCGAACTAAGGGTTGAGGCTTTTCAAAGGGAAGAATTCAGAATAGGTGATAGAATCTTTTGTGGAGAGGGTTTCTCGTTTCGAGTACTTCACACCTTTTCCAAGCAGGGTCGACCACCGGGTTAGGAAAAATTGGGAAAATCTACAACCCCAACAATAACCATTGAAGGGCGTTCCCACATCTCAAGGTGTTCTGTAGTGTTCATAACGCTTTCCCCTGGTTCATCTTGATGCACTTCGAAACTCTAGGTAGGGTTGCAAGGACAAGCGAATCTTCGCTGCAGTCGATCACAGCTCCTTCCCCCAGGAAACGCGTCCCACGCCGCTGATTCTTTCATATGCTTGGGGGAGACTGGAGACTGGATTGCGTCATAGGACCCACCATTGAACGCTAATGTTGGTAGCTACGCGTCGCCATGTTGCACTTTTTTTCTGAGGGGTCGCCTGTCTGCAGTCCAAAAACGCAGATATGGCTGGTCCTATGCTGGAATACTCTCAATCACCCAATCATGGGATAGGATCAGCGGTGGGGGAGGCCTCCCCTGGAGGAAGGATGGGATACGGACTCCAGTCCAAGCAGACGACCTTCGCAGGATAAATTTTGAAAATACGCCCGGCCCCCTAAATCCCCCCCCCCTTCGTTCAGCGCGCGAGATCCTTGAAGCGCACTCAAGCGAAGTAATGAAATATTGTTTAAACCCTTCCCGAAAACAATAAAAAACCGGCCCCCTCCTGACCCAATAAAAGCTCGCTCAGATCATAGAAATAAAATCCGTTAACCAATGAATACAAATTGATTGTGAACCGAAGCAAATGAAGAGTGCCGACTCATTTTAACGCTCTCCAGGAAGCATAACTCGTCAAGCCAACCCCAATCTGAAAGCTATGATCACCCTTTATCTATAATAAGCCAGGTAGTTGGTGTGTTGTTTGTCTCGCAGCATCTCTATGGGTTCTTCTTATATGCTAGACTGAAAGAATACGTTGTATGTGCCACGACAACTGGGAACAATTGCCATGAGGGCGTGAGGCAGTGAGGGCTGTTTTGCTTGAAGTGATACGTCGTGGCGGTCCGACGGAATGGGCGGCTTTGCCGATATCGCTCGAAAATATCGGTTTTTGCGCAGAGGGCTCGAAGGAGGCTGGGAATCACAGTATTGATTGGTTGCTGAAGTAAAAGTTGAAATTCATCGGGTCACATGCCATCGATCGATATCGATCGAAAATATCGGTTTTTGCGCAGAGGGCTCGAAGGAGGCTGGGAATTACAGTATTGATTGGTTGCTGTAGTAAAAGTGGAAATTTCATCGTGTCGCTATCATCGATATCGAGAAAAACTGATTTTTGCGCAGCCGCGCTGAAAGGTGGAAATCACAATATTCGGGTAGGAAAGGCGCGCAGGCGCGCGAAGCTAAACTGGTGTCATCAAAAACTACACCAGATTCTTGCTCTATTAACCATTGCTAGACCCTGCTAAATAGTCTCTACCCTAAAAAAAAATGCCCCAAAACATCTTGCCCGACTATCGCCGAAAGGTCATTTTTGCCGCTGCACTGGCAAGCCACTAAAAGAATATATCACCAACGAGGGAAAGAAATTCAGAACCTCGTGCTTTTAATCCAAGAAGCTTTAAACTGATTCAGCCGAATCTCCCCACCTTCACGCGATAAATGCTTGTGAATTTGACGCTCAAGTCTGCATTTCTCGTTGAATAGTGGATCCCTGCCTGTAATTTCGCACGGATCCTTTCAGAATCCTCTTGATTTTCCCTGCATCGAGATTTTTTTGTTTCAGAGAGCCGTGAGTTGAAGCGACCCGCCATGACTGGGCCAACTCTGAGACACGCCCATGTGCCAACGCTCACATCCTTTCATGTTGGTGGACTCATTTGAAAAGTAGATCCATTGGGAAACGTGGGAATTTCAGATTCTTCAACCCTGTCGTAATAAATTACTGAGGTAGGGCTTACACAGCATCGATCACATCCTTGATGTTGTCCTCCAACACTGATAATCCTACTACCAGCGATCCAAGCCTGCGACTCCTTCTTTCGAGTGGACCACACACGACCCCCCCCTGTCCACCTGTCGAGGCTTCCCCAACGCACGCACGCTTGACTCTGTGCGGCCCCATGGTGAGTGGACCTAAGGGTCGCCGCAGCGAAAATTTCGCGGTGTGAAAATCGACTTCTTCCTCAAAAGTAAAATTTTGTAAATTTCCCAAAACTTTATTTCTTCCCATGACCCTCCAGAAATATGACCCCTTTTGAAAACTTCAGGGGTGTCGATGCGACTCCACAGGGTCGGTCCTCCCGTTTGCTACAAGTAGCAACGGGGGGTCGTATTTTGATGAGTTTGTAGGGGGGGGGTCGTACTTGCTTCGATTGTAAGAAGTTGCATGAGATGAGTGGAGGAGTGGCGCGGGAGAAAATTTGCCGTTTCAGCGCGCGTATATACCCCCCCCCTAGAAAATGAAGCGTGGGATTAAAGGTAGGAGGGGGTAAATTGGTGGAAATTTAGGTAATTTTTACGGTTTCAGAGTGACTATATACCCCCCGCTCGACGGCATTTTTGGAGGAAAAAGTGGGCGGAGTTTCGTGGGTTGAGTGATACCAGAATGAAATACTATAGCGAGGAATATGGTGGTCGAGGGTCGAGAAGGGGGTCGTACCAAATCCACCTTGGGGAGGGGGGTCGTAAAAATTTTTCGAAAAGTAGCAACGATAGGACCGACCCTGCTCCCACTCTCACCACCATGAGACTCAGTAGGCACCCCAGTAACAATCCTGCCCTCCCTAACCCCGACCGCCACCCTGCCAGAAGTGCTCATTTCTATAGTATGTGAATTATGAGACACAAACCGACAGTACAAACCCACCCACTTTCCCCCATAAGTGGGCAGCGGGAGTTATTAACTGCAATGAAATGCCAAGTTTTCTTCTCCTCCACGTATCCCACGGTCGGAGCCTATGTACATTCACCGAAAATCCTCAATCCTCAAGTCCTCTAAATCCCCTCGCCATTCACGCAACCAATTACTGATCCTACTCAACCCCTGAATGCGACCCCCCTCCCAAAATCAATCAACAAATGCGACCCTATCGTTCGAATAGTGCGAACCCACGGTTGACCCTGCCTCGTACTGGAACTTGTTCCCTCTATTAAGCTTGGGCGAAAATATTCATGGGTGTGGTTCATTAGGACAGAAAGCGATTTTTCGCGTTTCGCTGCGCGACACATTGTCGTTGCGGGAACCTCGGGTCTACTGATGATCAGCGGGGACCTAGGTTCCCGTAGCGGAAAATGTTTTCGCGCGGCGAAATGCGAAAAAGCCGCTTTCTGTCCTAGTGAACCACACCCCAATATTCATCCCTTGCTTACCTGACGCTTTGTGCAGGAACATGTTGCTCCTAATCTCTCCTGTGCTGGTATCCAAATTGATTAAAAACATGTTGTGTTACTTAAGAGACTATGAAAAGTGATTTGTAGAGGGTGGGCAAGAAATGGAATAGCGTGCTCGAGTGAGAATAGCGCTTGGCGGGAAGGTGTGGAGTTCAAACTGGTTTGAGCGCGAAATCGTTGTTGCTGAAGCGTTGGATCGCCTTTCTTGTATTTTCCCATTGCTTTTTCCTTTCCGTTGTTAATATCATCAATGCACTATATTTATGGTGGTTAAGGTCTTACGTTTACGTGCCAAAATGATGTATGATGAATGATTTTTGAGAGTTACTGAAAATCTGAGAACTTTCCAGGCAGTCATGAATGTCGCTGCAGGAAGTGTTCAACAGGTTGAGGATGTGGATGGTGTACGGATTCAAGCGGAGTTCAGTCGTTTCATAAAAGAGTGAGTTCAGATTCTTTTAATGACGATCTTCAGACACGCTTCCTCATAAGTTCAAAACGAATTCGATTTTTGGAACTTTTACGAGCTTCAATAGGGGGCGGTATTCAATCCTTCCCCCAGGGGGATATATCCCCCTACTCTGATTCAATCCTCTGGGGGGACAAAAAAGGGTTGCGTCATAGGACCTCGCATACCTCTGTGTTTCTACCTGCCAGACAGTTAGAGCAGCGCGACCCCTCAGGGAAAGAGTGCTTCATCAGTGGAGGGTAGTAGCGCTGCTCTAACTGTCTGGCAGGTAGAAACACAGAGGTATGCTAGGTCCTATGACGCAACCCTTTTTTGTCCCCCCAGAGGATTGAATCAGAGGAGGGGGATATATCCCCCTGGGGGAAGGATTGAATACCGCCCCTGGAGCCTCTTCCTAGAGACTTAAGCATGTATCCAAGGATCAGAGTTAAACTCTGGTCGTGACGTCACGAGAAACTATAGGCTCCCTTGGTAACTGAAGGAAAACAATCGCGGCACCAAAATTACGGTTAATCGCAACCTTCAATCGCTGGGGTTCTTATCTGCAAGCTTGGCATCAAGCGGGAACAGGGGCAAGACGGTTTTGAAATATGGCTCACGTTGTTGCTCCAATTTTTAAATTTAGCGCTATGGATGCCAAAGTAATAGATTGTTTGGAGTTCTGATTCTGGTGTCTCATTTTTGATTCAAAACTAACCTAGCGGTCAGGGATATTAGCCGTGGGACGCATCAGATCAACTTGGCATTATAATTTTTTAGAAACTCAAGGTTGTTCGTATAGTGCTGGTCTCATACTGCAGATTTATTTTTTGCATACAAGGGGTGCTTGTAGGACCAACAATCTGTGGGTATGAGATTCTGCGAAGACTGTGCTTGTGTGCAAATCTTATAGATCTTTGCTGCTTCAGATTCACTGATACTGATGGGAATTTGGTCTACCGGAAGCAACTTCATGAGCTTTCTGAGCCCGAGAGAAATACGCTTTTCGTCGACATGCGAGATGTTCATTCCTACAGTGCCACGCTCTATGAAACAATTGAATTGCAGTTCTACAAGTGAGCTCCTAGTTGTTCTTCCACCATTTTAGCTGAGAAACCACGCAGCTTGGTGCTTAAAGAATTACTGCGTGCTGCCTAGATGATTGCCACAATTTATCTCTTGTATTCAGTAAAATCATGTGAATATTTAAAGGTTGTACCCATACATGTGTGAAGCGCTACAGTTGGCTGCTATTGATAGTTGTACTGAAGATGTTGACAGGCAGCGCATGTTACGCAAGGAAGTGTACGTCTCTTTCAAAGGCCTCGAAAATCGTGTGAATGTCAGTGCTTACTTCACGTAAATATAATCGTTCTAAAGTTTCATTTCGTAAGGTTGGAATCTTTGAAGGTACGAGAGTTGACAGCTGAAAAGATTGGCGCGATGGTGTGCATAAACGGTCAAATTGTACGAACACATCCTGTTCATCCAGAGTTGAGTCGTGCGACTTTTGTTTGCGAGGATTGCGGTGTCACTACAAGGAACGTTCTGCAACAATTCAGATATACACAGGTAAGCTGTTTGCCCAACCAATTGTGCTGGTGCTTTTAGATTAGCGCAGATGTTTTGCCCTTTTGGAATGTGTTCGGCATGACTTTGACGTAGTAACTGTCTAGCCGAGTTTCAAGTTCTGATGAATCCTAAAACGGTTACGCTAATGGAGTAGTTTAGGCAAAGTCTTGAACCTATCAAATGTCATGTAGGTTAAAGCTTGTGTATATTTGGCTGATAAGAATCAGTAATGCATTGTGTTTAAAGGATCCGATAAGACAACCGACTTTCTCGCTTTCTGCAGTGCGATGCTTTTTTTGCATCTGGAGCATCAGGTCTACTTCTGATGATTAGTGAACCTGCAGTTTCTGCAGCGAAAAAGCTTCGCGCTGCGAGGAAAAGTCGCGTTCTGTCATAGCGACCTACACCCCATTTTACACAGTAATCACTTGTCAGATTACCATTATGAACAATTTAAACTGGATTACGAACCAGTTTTGAAATGTTATTTAAGCCATCACGATGCGTCAACCCGCAGTGCATGAACAGAACAAGGTTCAGTCTTGACGTAGACGACTCATCGTTTGTCGATTTTCAGAAGATAAGAATTCAGGTGAACTGATTTTTCATTTATGTCGGAATTTTTTTTTACTAGGAAAGTTTTGTACAAAAAGAAGATGATTCTAGAATCATTTTAGGAAACCCAAGCCGAGCTTCCCCGCGGTTCTGTTCCCCGAACATTTGATGTCATCATTCGTGGTGAAATGGTTGAGTCTGTGCAGCCCGGAGATCGCTGCATGCTCACGGGTACACTTATCGTTATTCCAGACATCGCGCAATTAAGCTCACCAGGTAAAATCATAGAATTGCAACCTGATGCTCTGGTTTTCATTTTCATTTGCTTTCAGGTCTCAAGGCTGAAGCTGGTGGTGGAAATCGCGGCCGTGCTTCGGAAAAGGACACAGGTTTGACAGGATTGAAAGCGCTCGGAGTGCGTGATCTCAACTACAAGCTAGCTTTCCTTTGCTGTCACATTGAATCAAACAATACTAAGGTGAGCTTTGCGCATTTTAGCGTTCTGGCGCGACTTGCTTGTATTCGTTCTCGAACACATGAAGTTTTCCTGCTACCTAAGAAGACGTTTTCCATGTTTTTGGGCTAGCCATTACTCATTACTCCCTTTTTAGTTCGGTGGGAAAGGACTTCTCACATGAAACGATTGATAGTCTTTCATTATGGAAGACGATGTCCCAGCAGGAGCAGGCAACATTGAAGGCGATGAGCGAGGATAAGCGTATTGCCGAAAACTTGATAGACAGTTTGTTCCCCAAACATCTACGGAAACGACGAGGTACTGTATATAACCTCTATTTGGACACGTTGTTCATCCTGATCGATGCTGGATTTGTTTTATTGAAAAGCTGCCTTAAAGGTCAAACTTGGGGTACTGCTCATGCTGTTTGGAGGAGTGGCAAAGAAGAGCAGCACCGAAGGAACCACACTGCGTGGTGATATCAATGTTTGTCTTGTCGGTG